CAGAGCTCGTCTGTCATACAAGAACCTCCTATAAAGGCAAAGAAAGCCAAAAAGAAGGAACTTTCAAAAGCAGAGAAAAACTTGGCAAACAGGTGAGTAGATAATAGCTTTTTATAGTAAAATTAAAAAAAAAATAATCTAGCATCTAGATTAATCATAAGTTATGAGATCAGTGAAACAATAAGTTATATTCTGCTGTTCTTCTTGAACCTTGTGTTTAAGTTTATTTTTAAGAAGATTGTGAAAAATTTCTGTAGTTTGCCCCAGAAAGTATTAAATACTTCTGTCTTCTTGAAGTTCTAGGTCTGTGAAGTGCAAATCCCGTGTTAGAAAGCTGACAGGTCTAAAAGGTGTAAATTTAATGGAAAAGTTCTCTCAGGTACGGGGTGATGCTTTCTAACTGTAGTTGGCTTTATCCAGCAGACCTGCAGGCAAAGGAGCAGAGGTGGTGTCAGGAGGAGCAAGGTACCAGACAGAGTTAGTTGTTCCTATCATGCTTATAGAATCATAGAGTGCTTTGGGTTGGAAGGGACCTTTAAGGGTCATCTGGTCCTGCCGCCCTGCAGTGAGCAGGGACATCTTCAACTTGATCAGGTTGCTCAGAGCCCCATCCAGCCTGACCTTGAATGTGTCCTGGGATGGGACATCTGCCACATCTATGGGCAACCTGTGCCAGTGTTTCACCACCCTCATTGTAAAAAATTTATTTTTTATATCTAGTCTAAATCTACCTTCCTTTAGTTTAAAACCATTACCCCTTGTCCTGTTGCAACAGGCCTTGCTAAAAAGTCCTTCCCCAGCTTTCTTGTCGGCCCCTTTAGGTACTGGAAGGCTGCTCTAAGGTCCCCCCAGAGCCTTCTCTTTTCTAGGCTGAACAACCCCAACTCTCTCAGCCTGTCCTCACAGGAGAGGTGCTCCAGCCCTCGGATCATCTCCGTGCCCTCCTCTCGACTCGCTCCAACAGGTCCATGTCCTTCTTGTGCTGAGGACCCCAGAGCTGAAGGCAGTACTGCAGGGGGGGTCTTACCAGAGCGGAGCAGAGGGGCAGAATCCCCTTGACCTGCTGGTCATGCTGCTTTGGATGCAGCCCAGGGTACAGTTGCCCTCTGCTGTGACACAGAACTACTCTGTGACACTGTCTGTTCTTGTAAATGCTCGGGGTTGAACCAAGATGCTGTCAATGCAGGCAGGAAGCCAGTCTCTGTACGATGAAGTTTGGATAGTGAAGTTTGCTTGGTTGTAGCTCGAGGCTAAAGCCTTGTCCTCTCTCTGGCACTGTGTTGTGGAATCTTCCACGCCTGTGAAACTTGTTTGCTGTTTTGCTGTCAGTAGCCTTCCAGAGGCTTCTTCAGATCTGCTTATTGTTTATGCTATTATGCCAAGTTTGGAGAGATAGGGATTTGTTAGTGCACGGATGGATCCTAAAGGACTGTTTGTTCTGAACGTCCTGGATACTGGGAAGAATTAAATCTCTCCTTAGTTCTAGCATGCCAAGATGATTCCCCTCCCTTCAATTTTAGAGGATATCAAATTATTTAATTCTGAATTCTTTCTTTATTACTCCTATAGAATAGTGAATGCAGCGTCCTGGGGACAGCAAATAGTTTTTCATGCCACAGAATGGTCAGATATGTTTGCTTAATGCATAATAAGCAAAATAGTCTTTGAAATTTTATGTTGAACATAATTTAAAATGTAAGTTAAAATATTTATCTTGGAGGCTTCAATTCTCTGACCTCAAAAACTCTGTTTTTTTTTCCCATCAATTATAATTTGCTTGTCTTTTTCTGATAAGAGAGTGCGCTTTGGAGCGGGCAGATGAAGAGGAGGAGCAAAAACTGTTTCAAAACAAAGCGAAGCAAAAAAAAAGGGCTTCTCATGCCATCACCAAAGGTGGTGTTAATTCAGATAGAGGCACTACTGTAAAAGAACAAAAGGTCAAAAAGGTGGCCGATGAAACGGTAAACAGAAGAACGGTGTTTGTTGGAAACTTGCCTGTCAGCTGTACTGTTCAGGTATGTGAGTGGATTCTGTCAGCTAAAGGAATGAAAAGAATTACAACAGTCCTTAGTTTGAGGGGATGTTCCCAGCTGAGAAGTCACCTGTGTTGGTGACTAAAATTGCTTTTTGGGAAAGTAGGAAATAATGCTCGTTGTCAGAAACGAGAAATTAGAGACAATCTCTTTTGTTTTACTGGATTTGGGCTTTTTACAGCAGTGGATGCAGTTGCTCTTTCTTTAGTAGAATTGGTTAGTTTCTTTGTCAATGAAAAATGACTTAATAAATGAGAACTACAGTTACAAAGTTAGTCTGCTTCTGATTTTGAATGCAAGTAATACTTCAGATTGTTGCATAAAATATGTTAAATGTGTACTTTCTTCCATACTAAGGGGTACGAATTCAGTTTTGGCAATCAGTAGAATAAGATGCTGCCACAGAAACAGTTACAAATTAATTGCATATTTTTAGTAGCCCTTTAATGGACCTTATATATGTAAAATGAAAATAGTGTAAAAACAATCTTAATAATAAATATTCAACAATAACTCTTGGATTACCAGGATGCAAAAATGTATTGAATATTTGTAATATCTTCTGTTTAGATGCTGAAATCTCTTTTTAAGAAGTATGGACAAATAAAATCCACTCGTTTCCGGTCTTTGGTATGTTATTTCCTCTAATGTTACATAATAAAATTATTTTTTGACCTTAAAGGGTAGTGTTCGTAAGGTTTGGATCTTCATTAGTACAGAAGCGGGTTTGGGTGTGAATTTTTTGCCAGTAGAAGCAGCCTTGGAGATTTTACGACAGAGGCACCACAGATGCATCTTTGCTTTCATCACATTTGACTCTTGCTGTAGCAGCAGTTGATCGTATCAGAGCTGTGTTTTCTCTGGAACAAGAATGTCTTTATTATTGCTCATTTAGCTAAGGTATTACTTATCTATTTTTAAATAATAGTAGCAAAGACACATTGATTGTAAATCTCTGTAAGCTGAAGATAACAGTCTTGGAACTCAAGAAACGTAACAGATGAAGTCAAAGCAAGCTACCTTATTCTGAGGTCTCTCAAGATCATCTCTAGGAATAGCCAGTTCCATCACTTGCTCACTGTACTGGCTACATTGCTTTGGGTGGGAATGGTACCTGTTTGAATTCCTCTTTGTCTTCAACAACAAATATTTGAGATAAATTGGCACTCAGCCCACTTAACTGAAGCTGTTTTTATCTTAAAGGTTCCAGCAGAAGATACTTCATCCAAAAAGTTAGCAGCAATAAAGTAGGTTCCTCTTGTAAATTTTGTGCTTTACTTTTCAAGGCAAAAATAATTTCTAAGCATTGGTTGTTACATGTTTAGCTATATTCACTTTGTAATTTTGTGTTTCTTTGACTTTTGTAATTACCATTGTGTGTATGTAAGTTTTCTTGACAAGTGAAAAGGAATTATGTGCCTGGTATACTAGTAATTTGTTATCTTAGGTTGCATTTCTTATATTTTAGGAAGGAGGAAGATGCTAATAGTCTTTAATTCCTTTGGATTTATTTGTGAGCCGAGTAAGCTTGATCGGGGTGCATTTACAGGCTCGATAAGATGTACAGTGGGACTCCCTTGGACACAAGGGGCTAGCTTGACCTTTAAAAGAAATGAAGTTGTTACTGTACACAAAACAAGAGGAAGCATAAATGTGTTTAAGAAGTGCTTGTGCACTGCACGCCATCAGAATGATTTGAACAATATGCGTCTTTTTCATGTTCCAGGCATAAGGTGCACCCTAATGTGAAGTTCATTAATGCTTATGTTGTATTTAAGGAAGAATCCGATGCCATTAAGGCTCTAAATGAGTAAGTCTTAGTTTTGTTCCTCATTCCCTGTTGAAGAGGTAGATTTACAGATAAATTTAAACTACTTCCTCTCTTTTGCTTGAATCAGAATAAAATATTTTCAAACTTAAAAAGTAAATTTGCTTTTGGAATAATGCTATGCAGTGATGTAAATTAAGTAATGCTTACTTATTTCATTTTTAAAACTTTTTGCTTTTGGCTACACAAGAAACGGAACAGAAGTTGCTAGTGGATTTCACATCAGAGTTGACATTGCGTCAAAAAGCAGTTCCGTAAGTAAGATATGTGATGAAAAAAACCCTTTTCTGTTTGTTAGTGTGTTTTTTTTTGGTTTTTTTTCCCTGTAACAAATAACTTACTGTCTTGTATCTCTTATTTTCTTTAGCATGACAATAAACGATCTGTATTCTTGGGAAATCTCTCATATGGTAAGTCTAAAATGGATTGTTATGCGTCATTACTTAACATAATTTATGGAACCTGTTGACATTAGGGGTTTTTTATTTATTGATATTTAGGGTAGCATGTTTAGGTAGCTAAATATCTTTTGCTGGAATTAATTTTTTTAATAGCAGTTTTATTTTTTAACTGAAACACCTAAAGGACTTACAAGATTCTGGCAAATTCTGCAGGTTAGTTGTTTTCTTTATTGTAACTAGAACTACAAGCACATTTAGTTCTTGTTGCTTGATGTTTTTTAAATAAATATGGGTAAACTGCATAGGTCATAGCTTTCTAAACTGTTAAGTGTGTGCTAGTACCTGTTTGTGAACTACTGCCAAGTGATACACAGTGATGGCTTCTCATTCTGATGCCGTCTGTGAGCCGCAGGGTGAGTGACTCTGTGCAGGCAGCTATTGGCAATGGGTTGTAAGCCATGTGGAGGTGTTCACTGTATAGCTGAGGTCAGTGCTTGATGAATATTCTGCTGCTGCTGAGTAGAGGGGAGAGCAGATGAAGGGATCGCTATCAGGTGTGGTCCGTATGAGGGTATTAACAGAGTCGGGATGCTTGGGACAAGCATCTTACTTGGTAGTGCGGATGTGTAAATACTCAGGATGAAGGCATGCCCTGTGTCGGTGGCCTGACGCACAGCCGCTGTCACACGCTGCTGACAGTAGTGCTGAAACAAACAGGCATTTGACTTCAGCCTAAAACTTGACCTGTCTGAAAATCTAGATAGGTGACAAATCTGATTGTGGTGACGTTGCTAATGCCTGTTGAGTCGAGCTTGTGTCGGTACTGTATGTTTCTCTCTGCATCCTGCAGAAAAAACAGTTCGAATATTTGCAGTGCTCTGCAGATGACTTTAGCAATTTCAGCCTTTCTCAGCCCATCCGGTCGCATTGCTGTAATTAAACCTGTACTATTAAATCCTCCCATTTACACAGATACCATCATATCTCTGCTAAGGGATTTACCATAATATGAAGCGTACCTAGACAGAAAATAAAATAACCTGCATTTTTGTATTGGTATCTCACACTTGTCTGTTTGCATAGAGGGAGAGATGAGACTGAGAAAGCCTCACACATCCAGCCATTATCAGAATAATCATATAGCAACTATGCTTGGAAACTCTGTCTTTTCCCCCATTCAGCTAAAATTCATGGCTTCGTCAATGAGCATTAGACTTCCAAGAACTGCCAGCTCAAGCTCGTTATCATCAGCATTAATTCTTAGAAAGAGATTCTGGCATAAGAAGGAGCTACAAAAATGTAGCACAAATCTAAACTTCCACTATGTTCAAACCATAAATGGAAATTGTTTGAAAAATTTATTTCAGTCTTTGCCTTCGTTCTTGTGATTTATGTTGTACTCTTCAAAGCTAGAGAACCAGTAACTGTCCAAGTAAATAGCCCTTTATAAAGTCTGCATTGTTAACTTGCTGGAATTGTTCTGAACCACTGATGTTTGGGTACCTATGTGTATTTATATATTTTTATATATATTTAAATATATGTTTGTGTACCTGAATTGGCAAATATAAAATATTTGGATTTGGGCCAGGCTTCTAAATCTGTGTGTCTGACTGAAGAGGCATCTGTTTCATTGTGCTTGCCTGCAGACATCAGTGACGATGCTGTGCGAGAACACTTTTCCGACTGTGGAGGTGTAGTAGCAGTGCGAATTGTGAGAGACAAAAAGACCGGTTTGGGTAAAGGCTTTGGCTACGTTCTCTTTGAGGTACGTATGAACAGCGTGCTTCAGGACACTGGGAATTCTTCCAAAATCCGTACTGGGATTTGCCTTTATAGTCTTTTAAAGTTGTTTTTCTTTTTAGTATTTCTTTTTTTGATTTGTATATGACATTAAATGGTAGCATTGTTGTGTATGTTAAAAGCAGCTTGGAAGACCAATTCTGTGCAAGCAGGTACAAAGCAAACTAATTTAGGTTATATACAAAGAAAAGTTGTAAAACGTTGAGGTGAAAGAAATTAACTTTAAGGGAGAGACTTAAAGGAGGGACAGATGAGTTCACTTGGTATAACTGCAATGTTCTGCCATTTCTTACATGTCAAAATAGGTGAGGAATTCTTTCCTGCAGTCCGTTTGCTGACTGGATCTCCATTTTGGATTCAGCATGGCTTGCTTTCTCATGGCTTGCTTTCTCAAGCCTAATACCTTTTTCCCCCAGTTTCTCCTTCATATCTGCCTTTCTTTCACATCTCACGTAAGCTGATTTACAGCCCATTTCCAAGTATCTGTGCCTTGATGCGTGGGCTCCGTGGGTGTGCTGGTGTTTCTGAGCAGAGCAGAGATGTTGCATCGTTCAATAAATAGAGCAGTTCGAGCGCTCTTTATTGTAAAATCTTGCTTACAAAAAACTAGAGACAGGCAACTATTTATTTGAAAGCAATCAGTTGGAAGTAATGCTGCTTTTAAACTGAATGTCTGTTCTTGTAGAATACGGATGCTGTACATCTTGCTCTGAAACTCAACGAGACTGTTCTGAGGGGAAGAAAGGTACGAGTCCAGCGCTGTGGAGAGAAGTGGAAAGCACCACAGAAAAGTTCAGGTCGCTCTCGTGCTCCTAAGGACAGAGTTGATACCACATTAAAAAAGAAGAGGTGCTCTAGTGATTCATTTGTTGGTGAAAAAGCAGTCCCGTTAAAGAAGAGCACTAAATCAAAAAGACTGAAAACTATTCCTAGAAATAAGACTGGGAAAACCAAACAGTCTTCTGACAAAAATCAAAGGTATAAAAATGTTCGTTATCGTTACAAAGATTGATGTATATAAGAGTGTTCTGTCATAAATTTTGTTTGCTAATACAGCTGTAGTTGTTCTTAGTATTGACTCTGGGGTTTTTGGCGACTCCCAGAAGGCAGTACGAGGTACATGTCCATACCCCCCCGTCACGGTACAGACACCCCTTGGTTTTATTGCTCTGTTCCTGGAATACATCTGCAGCTGAGGTCTCGCTGCAGGGGTTAACTGAAATCTTTTGGAGTTGTGAAGAATTACTCAAAAAAAAGCAGCTTATGTGCAGACCAAGTGTGTGACGATGCACAAATAATTACTTAGATCTCTTTTTTTTAACTGTTAAGCCGATGCTCAGGCAGGGGCTGCGGGAGTGGCGTTACGGCTGGGCCGGCTTTTCCCCACCTTGCAGCAGACGGGTCTCTCCCGGCTGGGCATAGGCGCTTCCCCGGGGCAGGAGGAG